CTGTCATTACCGTCTGTCCTGCATCTCTCTCTCTCTCTCTCTCTCTCTCTCTCTCTCTCTCTCTCTGTCTCTCTCTCTGTCTCATTGTGTCATGCGGATTACTGTTAATTTATTATGCTGATCTGTTCTGTACGACATCTATTGCACGTTTGTCCGTCCTGGAAGAGGGATCCCTCCTCAGTTGCTCTTCCTGAGGTTTCTACCGGTTTTTTTTCCCCCATTAAAGGGGTTTTTTTGGGGAGTTTTTCCTTATCCGCTGTGAGGGTCCAAAGGACAGAGGGATGTTGTATGCTGTAAAGCCCTGTGAGGCAAATTGTGATTTGTGATATCGGGCTTTATAAATAAAACTGAAACTGAAACTGATTCCAGTCGCTTTCTGCTCATGCACTCTTAACAGAGACTGAGAAACGATACTCTCAGATTGAGAAAGAGTGCCTGGCGGCTGTGTGGGCCTGTGAGTGGTTCACGCGATACGTACAGGGAATGGACAGTTTTCTCCTCCAGACAGATCACAAACCACTGGTACCGCTGATCAATGAATACAATCTGGACAAAGCGCCACTGTGGTGCCAGAGACTGTTAATGCGCCTCATGAGGTTCAATGTGACAGCTATACACGTGCCAGGGAAACAGTTAATTGTAGCTGACAGGTTGTCCCGAAGTCCCTTGAGCCATGGAGCAGAGCCGGATATGGAGCAAGATGTGGAGGCGTACGTCAGAGCAGTAGTGACAAACAAACCAATCTCATCAGAAAGGCTCGATGAAATACGAGAGACCACTAAGAATGACTCAGACCTTCAGACTGTCATTAAGAGCATCCGAAGCAGCTGGCTGCACCGAACAGCCGCATTTCAATCCTCACATGCCTTCTATACTGTGAGAAATCACCTCTCTGAAGCGGATGGACTAGGACTAAATAGTTATTCCAGCACCGCTGAGAGCCAAGGTGCTGAAACAAATCCACGATGGCCACCAGGGGTTAACAAAGTGCCGCGAGAGAGCTAAAATGTCAGTCTGGTGGCCAGGTATTAGAAGCGACATAGAACAGCTGGTGATGCAGTGCAACTTCTGTATCGAACACAAACCAAAATAAAGAAGGGAGCCCCTCATCACCTCGCCCCTGCCAGAAGGACCCTGGCAGAGGATTGCTGCAGACCTGTGTGAGCTGCGCGGGAAAAGTTATCTGATTGTGGTTGACTACTATTCCGAAATGGCTCATCTCACATCCACGTCAAGCTTACAGGTCATCAACAGACTTAAAAGCATATTCGCCAGGTGGGGGATACCACTGGAGATTATCAGTGAGAACGCCATGCAGTTTGCCTCAGCAGAGTTCAAAGACTTCAGCAAAGAATATGGGTTCACCCATGCAACCTTCAGTCCCCACTACCCTCAGGTGAACGGGGCAGCCGAAAGAGCAGTTCAGACTGCCAAAAGGATTCTCGACCAGCCTGACCCGTCGCTAGCCCTGATGAGCTACCGGGTGACGCCCATCGCCGCAACTGGGGCCAGCCCGGCTCACCTTATGATGGGACGACAGATTCGCATGGCTGTGCCTATGTTGGAAAAGAAACTACAGGCAGATCCTGTCAGCCGGGCCCAAGTTCTGCTGAAAGATAGTAGGGCTAAAAGAGCATAGGAACATTTCTATAATCGCAGACACTCTGCCTGCCCACTGCCGACACTGCATCCAGGACAGGCCATCAGAGTGAGGCTGGATGGGGAAAAAGGATGGAAGTCCCCTGCCGAGGTGGTCGGACAATCTGCGGAACCACGATCCTACCTCATCAAGATGGATTCAGACAGAGTTATGCGTCATAACAGGAAAACACATACAGGCAGTTCCAGAGTGCATCGGCCCTGCTGACCAGCTGCATTGGTCGGGAGGAAGCCCTACACAGCCAGCAAACAGTCCCCGCTCTGAGCAGGCCGCCACGGACATCACACCACCCCTGCACCTGCCACCCACAGAGACTGCACCGGAGACTCCCCTGCTGCCCTCCTCTTCCCAGGGGATAACCAGACTGACCGCAAGGGGTCGTGAGGTTAGACTGCCTCTCAGGTACAGAGACTGAGTGACTTTATTGTTAACTTCAACTTGGTGAGTTGAAAGTGGAATAAGGGACACTTTAGGGTGCCCCAGTGAGGGAAGGTGAAGTTTATAGCACCAGGAAGACCTCTTAAATGAGAAAGACAGTTGAGCTCAGATCTAGTTTGAAGTATTCGTATTTGATGTTTAAGTAATGCTATGAAAGAGTTAAATGTTTGGCATAAGCTTACATAATTGTTTTGTGCTTGTTTACTAAAAGAGGGAGATGTGATGATATTCGTTAAATACAGTCAGCCCACCATAGTCGAGAGGTAATGACGTCACGGGAGGGGACTGTGTTATTATAGGCCATAAGATGAATGCAGTTATTGTTTCATCTCGTTCCGACATCTGGGGACTACACGATCTTTACTTCATAAAAAAGATCGATACATGTTCAGCTAATCAGCGGGAGTTCGTAGCTCATAACCCCGCAAGAGTCCTGTGAGGTCGTAATTCGGCACTTGTTCTGTCTGAGCGTAACAGCGCTATTCACATCGCTGTGTCCATGAAACACGATGAGACAAATTTGTTATCACGAGAAAACAATCTTTGTTATATTGAGATAGCGAAATAATAAGTCGTTATCACGAGATAACAGTGCACAAAATAAATAAATAAATAAATAAATAAATACATGGCCGTTCTTGGATTCCATACTGGACAGCTGTCTATGTAGGCAAATAATACGTCGGTTATGCCCAGGTATTGAATCAAATGTGTTTTAAGACATTTTTGCTTGGTTCACCTTATTGTCTATTTGTCTCATCGTGTTTCATGGACACGGCGATGTGAATAGCGCTGTTTCAGCTCATTTCTGCTCATTTCTGCTCACTTTTGAGGACTTCCGGGTCTGTTTTCCTCTGCTGAATGAGACCATGGCAACACGAAATGCGGGTACCTTATTGGTGTAGCGCGATCACGTGACGGCCGTGCCACCACTCGCGTACCAAATCTCATTACGCTCAGGTGGAATAGATCATTACGCTCAGACGGAACAAGTGCCGAATTACGACCCTGATCACAGGACTCTTGCGGGGTTACGAGCTATTAACTCCCGCTGATTAGCTGGACATGTATCGATCTTTTTTATGAAGTAAAGATCGTGTAGTCCCCAGATGTCGAAGCAGAAATCAGTTTCTGTCAGACTTTTTCTGATTCACCTTACGGCCTATTACTTCGCTGAATGAATACAACGGTATGCCTCATGTTGCAAGAGCTGTTCAAGCTGAAATAAAACTTAGAGTTAACACAACCTACAAGCGTGTGTGATTAACGTGACAAAGTCTTTCACTGTAACCGCTACTACTTCTGGCCTGACCTCAGGAAGGGGGCCACAGAGATACACCGGGTAATGAAACCAGGTAGGACATGAGGTTTTACAGTAAGACAGACTATATTTTCAAGGCACATTTGGTGATTTACTAACTCACTCATATTTATTTTAGCACAAACTGTCTTTTAGTCATTCTTGTCTGCACAAATGTAATTCTTCTTTTCTGTCTTGTACCCACCCAGGAGGCCTGATGGTGACCACACTGAGGCTGTCTAACATGGCTGCTTTGGCAGCAAGTCAAATGATGTAAGGGGAGAACTGGCGCCCGGAGGCCTACATGACAGCTCTGAGAGACTCTGGCTGATGTCAGGATGGAGGACAGACAGCTGAAATGCATTTCTTTTTGCAGACTGAAATCAAACTAAGAGACTGTATATCTTCTATCCTACCTTTGTGACAGTGAGGTTTTGTATGATTACGTTAAATTGTCAAGTTTCACCTTGTGAAGATAGGAATGTTATAACTGCAGTTATAAACAAATACATGAATAGCAATTTCTCACTATAAGCACTGTCAGTTCTCCTCAATGGTAGTATCTTATCATACATGCCGAACATTTTACATTAGTTATATCAATGAAAGATGTAGTGATAATAATCCACACTGGGCACAGTACAGTAGCTTTAATGTTGGACATCTTGCATTACATTCAAACATTTCAGACCAAGGGCATAGCTTTATTTTAACATTGCAGGGGACACGTGAAATGAGGGGTTGAACATCAAACACTTCATTTCCACCAGTTGGTGCCTCTTTGCATCATTTTGTGGTGTCAATTTCCTCTGTTACTTTCACGGTAAGACACTTTGTTTTAAAGGTACATTTGTCATCTGAATAAAAACCTGTCTGTACGGTGATTTACTACCTAACTCCTAGTTTTTAACATCAAACAATATCCTACAGTCTGGTGAATGTTATGGCACCAGGTAATGTCTTTTCTGCATTATTTTGTGGAATGAATTTCCTCCTACTTTCACAGTAAGACAGACTTTCATGTTGTTACTGGGGAGGACAAATCCATATGTTGTAAAAATCTACACCTATGCTTCAGATTGCATGTACTGAAAACAGGAGAAACCTGTTAGTGGAAGTCATAAGCTGACATAAAGGGCGGAGACATTTCCGTGACTGCACTTGATGAGCCCAAACCAGCAGCATATTTATGAGAGCGTTGCATAAATTAACTCTTTAAAAGTCTAAGAGAAAACTGTTGCCTTAGTTTCACAATATTGCAATTAAATATCTGAAGGAGAAATTCTGGGAGTGAGTGATTTAAATACAGCGGGAGAGTGTGTAAAGTGACCGAGAGGAAGACAAACACACCGACGCTTGTGTTTACAGGAGATACACGCTGCTCCCAGGAACAAGCAACTGACCGACCAACTCGGTAAGGTAAGGGGTTTATTACTGTCAGACAAACTTACTCAACAGCGCAGCCACAATGGCAACACATGAAGTTTACTGTAGTTCACACGGTAGGGCGACACCTCCAAACTCAGAGCTCATACACCTGGGCGACTTGATATACCACCTGTAACATCGACTACAAGCTTATAAAGTATATCTACGATACAGTGGCGTTAACATACCTGCAGGAACATGACATGCGTCGTGCCCAGTGTCAGATTAAAGTGACTCTGACAGGACAGAGGGCTCGGCCAGGTCCACAGGTACATTCCTTCATGCTGGCATGCTGCAAGGGAATGAAAGTGCTCAAAGTAGGAGCCACAGTAAGGTATATCTTATTCTTATTTGTTTTAAATCTGCACAATTCTGAGTATTAAGTTTAACAATAATAATAATACAATACAATTTACAGGAGTCTACTCACAATCTACAAGTAGCTTCTCAGAAACTACTTACTATCAGTCATACAGAAGATTAAACATTTATTTAAAGGTCCAGTGTGTAAGATTTAGGGGCATCTACTGGCANGTTATTTCACTCTGTATGTATCACTCCGCCTCACAGCTGATTGCAATCAACAATCAAATCAAAACTGACGGTTAGTGTCAGTTAGGTCAGCAGTTGCGTTGTAGGCTAATTAATTCATCCACTGTCAAACAGCCAAAAATATGGATTTATTTCCTAAAATAAGTTTTGAATTGAACTATGAATGGTCAGCAGAGGAAGATGAGGGAGAGGAGAAGCTGAATCCATCTGAGCACACATCCAGGTTTGTCAGTGTTTCCTCAGCGGAGCTCAATGACTTGGAGAAAAGCAACATACTGTCAGATCAGAAGGCAGAGTCGGCTGTGCCTGTGAAGCCACAGTCCACCATGCAGTCACCAGAGACTTATTTCACCAGCTGCACAATTAATGGAAATGTGCAGATAAATGTGTATAAAGAGTAAGTGCCTGGCGCACCATGTCTGCGTTACATAACAACAGTGACAGCGGAGTCCTGAGGGAACTATTTTTGTTGGCGGAAGACAAATAAAATGCTTAAATTATCTTTTTTGTCCTCATTTTTCAACATTTCTTAATCAGCCTTACTTATTTAACTGTTGAACTGTTGTATAAAAGCAATATCACACTCGAGCTCGTGATGTTGTACTACTACAACATCACTCCCTCTCGTGTGATATTGCTTAATCATCACCTTAAGCCCTGTTTCCACCAAGCAGTACGGTTCAGTTCAGTTTGGTACCTTTTTTTCCATTTCCACTGTGAGAAGTTATGGATGGTACCAATGGAACTGCTTAGTACCGTTCCCATTTTTGGTCCCCCCTCTGTTGGGGTACCTAGCGCACAGATCTGGTACTAAAAGGTGGAGCTGTGAACACTGCAGTCTGTTGATTGGTCATTAGCGGACGGTCACTCTGCTCAGAGCTGAGTTGTGGCTGGTTTTGAGGTTCATGTAACTACTGTTCACACTGTGGAGAGTTTTATAGCAGACTGTAATTATAAAATGAAAGGATGTTTTGCTGCCTCTTGCAGCAGGTGGAGTCAAAAAAAATAACTTAATTCACTGGGCTGACTGCCGGCAACTTTTAAGGTGGAATGTTAACTTATAATGTTACTCAATGTGTGAGGCGATGACGTGAATCAATCACCACACCTTGAATTTCACTGTGACAACTTTGACCATTACTTTAGTTTTTATATGACATACACTGTTAGTAAAGAGTGGAACTTCAAGCTTTCAACCGGGTTATGTGAACTGCATATATTCTAATCCTCACTATGAGAAAAAAAAAAAAGCGTCACAGAGTGTCAAGGAGTGTCATTCCTGTGGGCTCAGCCAACACTAAACCCCTGAGCTTGCCTGAGAAGGACTAAATGCACAAACCTGCTATTTTAAATGTCCCATGGAGAGAGACTGCAGCCTGTTTTATTTTGTTCTGAAAATGTCAGAGTGCAGCCTCGTTCTGTGGATGATAAACAAGGTGCAGACTTTCATCTGTGTCACCGGTAATGAGGAAATACAGTGAGTGCTGGACAGAGCAGTGAATGACAACAACCCCGCCCACATTTAAGGGCACTGTTTGCAGTGGAAACACTAGGGTCTAGGAACCATGTCTGAAGGGTTACTGTCGGTTCCAAAGGTACCATACTGAAAGTCTTTGGTGGAAACAGGGCTACATGGCTTTATTGTTTGCATCAGCCAGTAAAGCTTCCTTCATGCTCGGCACACAGAAGTTTCAGTTGGTTGCAATCTGCAACCTCACCACTAGATGCCACTAAATCTTATACTTTGATGTGAAGTGAAGAAGTTAAAGTAAGCATAGTCCAACTAAAATTCATTAGACAAGATTTAAACCAACCCAGTTTTCACCCGATCCCCTGATCTTGAAGTATCTGGAGTAGGCTACTTGAAAATCTGACATAAAATCTCCAAGTTTGGATTGAAAAAAAAGGGATTTGAAAATATATATTTCTGCAGTTCAGTTTTGTTTATTTAATAGAAGAAAATGGACTCTTTTTGCAGAGGTTTTTTATGTCAGGACTTTAAAGATATGACTTGGCAGTGGCATTTAAAGGTCCAATGTGTAGGATTTGGAGGTGTCTATTGGCAAAAGTAGTATGTAATATGAAAAGCTCTGTTTTCATTCGTTTCGTTTATCATCACCTGAAAATAGGAATTATTTAATTTACGTTACCCTAGTATGAGCCATTTATGTTGACATAAGGAGTGGGTCCTCTCCCAGGCCATGTTGGTCGCCAGTAGCCCGAAATGGACAAATCAGACACTCTAGATAGGGACTTTCATGTTTTCGAGGTGGCCAACATAATTCTCGTACACTCTTGGTGAACAAGAGGAGTTTCAGTTCTGCAACCATACTGCGAGATGCCATTAAATCCTAAACACTAGTACTGTGATGTATTTTACATGCAGATGCAACTATTCTGATGCATTTTTAATCTGTGTAATCCACTCTCCAATAACTACTGCTTACAATATTTGTAAACCACCTAAAAATGTTCACGTCATTTTTCTCCAGTGATGTGGGCTGAAAGATTGGTCAAACAGTTGGGCCACCCGACACGGTCAGTGGGAGGGTGGCTGGTGAGTAGGTTGTTCGTAGTGCGCAACTGGGTCCTTGAGGAGAATGCTGTGCAGCTGTGCCAGATCCAACCTGATGACACAGTGCTGGAGCTGGGTCATGGCCTGGGTCTGGGTCTGAAGTCAGCTGCCAAACTGCTCACAGATCCCAAAGGCCACCTCATAGGGGTGGATTGCTCAGCATACATGCATAAGGTGAAGTATAAATACTGACAGAAAGGAATAAAGCTTTTGAATGAAGTTTTTATTATCACATTCATGTCTTGAAATCTGTAACCAAAATGGTGTCTTAATGGACAAAGCACAGGACACAGTAACAAGCCTCTGCCTGCCTAAACTAGCCGAGCTGTAAGATTCTCTGTAAAGGACTAGTCTGGGACAAAGTTGCATTTGAAGCTGGAACATTACTCACTTTTAGAATAGAGGAATATTTCTCTTTTTCTTCTCTTACAGGAGGCAAGTGAGCAAATGAAGGACCTTGTGGCCAGTGGGAAAGTGACCCTGCATCACTGTGATGTAGCAGCAATGCCTCTGGAAGACAACACTGTGGATAAAGTCTTTCACTGTAACTGCTACTACTTCTGGCCTGACCTCAGGAAGGGGGCCACAGAGATACACCGGGTAATGAAACCAGGTAGGACATGAGGTTTTACAGTAAGACAGACTTTATTTTCAAAGCACATTCAAATGTAATTCTTCTTTTCTGTCTTGAACCCACCCAGGAGGCCTGATGGTGACCACACTGAGGCTGTCTAACGTGGCTGCTTTGGCAGCAAAGCGAGTGATGCCGGGGGAGAACTGGCGCCCGGAGGCCTACATGACAGCTCTGAGAGACTCTGGCTTCACTGATGTCAGGATGGAGGACAGACAGCTGAAATACATTTCTTTTCAAGCTATCTATGCCACTGCCTCAAAATGAGATTCAAATCACACTGCAAGTGAGAGATTTTGTGTCTTCGACCCTACTGATGTGATTGTGAGTTTTTGTGAGATTGAGTGTATTTCTGACCCTCGACTCTCCTTTCTGTGGCAGATTTCAAATGACTAAATGAAAACATATCACGCACAGAAATCCCACTCAATGAAATACACAATGTTATTTGCATTAATTGTTTTATATGGTGACATGAACTGACCGTGCATGCTTGTACATTAAAATCTGACAGAAAACAAAGTGAAGAGATATATTCCAGTCTTGCCCAACAGAGGGCAGCATAGAACTGCCAGTGCTTATTGAGAAAGCACTGTCAGTGTTTTCATGAGATGGTTCGAGGGAGTTCAGCCTTTTTAAGCAGACGCACCATCAGTGCCAAAATGAACTGTCCATAGCTTTGGGGCAGAACTGTGGATGACAGACAGTCTTTAACATTAAAATAGTTTTCTTTTGGCCAGCTGGCCAGAGGGACACTATTGCTGAGTGTACATTTAGTTACATCTGTAGGGCTGTAGCCTACATAAGGAGGCTGAACTTTGAGGGATCTACCTAACAGAATTCTCAGTAGGCCTTAATGTTGACGGCTAAGATAATTAGCATTAACTAGCTTTAACTTACAGTTTGTTTTTTTCTCTAAGTATCCCACTGCTGGTAATTTCTATCTGAGAGCTGCTGACTCACTGGGCTGTCTGCCTTCACTGGACTGGGTCCATACACTGCCACTGTCACTAAAGTATCAACTAACCATATAAGATAAGATAAAACTTAATTTATCCGGGGGGGGGGGTCTTGTATAAATATACAATATGCTATATATTGCACATACAACATAAAATTAAACATACAGACTAATACAAAAATTAGATTAAATTTAAGTTAAAGTTTTTAAAAAATGAAAAAAGTTAGCTGAAAAGCAGGCTACAAATACTGGTGCAATGCATTTCCAAACAACCAGCAATGAATATGTTGTAAATACTTAGGTGTGAGTGTAGTGTTACAGATGTACATATAGGTCTACAGCAGGCATGTCCAAATGATTGTCGCATGTCACTTGTGGCTCGCAGAAGGATTTTAAATGGCCCCCAGACTTGTTTTAAAAATATATGTGGCCCGCTACACAAAGTTAGTTAATCAACCAAGATCCATCCATCCATCCATCCATTTTCATCCGCTTATCTGTGGCCAGGTCGCGGGGGCAGCAGGCCAAGCAAAGCACCCCAGACATCCCTCTCCCCAGCAACGCTTTCCAGCTCCTGCTGGGGGACCCCAAGGCTTTCCCAGGCCAGATTACATAATGTGATCCCTCATGTTCTGGGTCTAACCAGGGGCCTCCTACTAGTGGGACATGCCCGGAACACCTCTAATGGGAGGCACCTGGGAGACATCATGATCAGATGCCCGAACCACCTCAACTGACCCCTTTCAACGCGAAGGAGCAGTGGCTCTACTCCGAGCTCCCTCCAGAGCTCCAATGAAGATCACTTTACAAATTTTCCATTCACCTCACATTGGCAGGACTATCATACAGTTTGAAGACATGCAACAAGTAGGAACTTTGCAGGAGGAACTAATGCGTCCTCATAAACAGACACTAAACATGCAAAGAAACAGTTGCATGGCAGCAGACATTTCCTGCTAGGTAGCAGACATGAACACAGCAAAGAAGCGGGAATTCGACAGCAAGGGCCGCTGCTTTCAGGAGCAGTGGAAAGTTGAATACTTTTTCAGTGAAAGATGAAACAGTTGCATTTGTTTCATTTGTATTCGATTGTTTCGTGTTTTGTCTTTTTTAATAAAAAAAAGACGGCAGAGTAGACGCCTGCACACCAATACAACTGGGCTGGACAGCCACAAAAAAGGTTCACAGGCTGAGATCAGTGCAAAAAAAAAAAAAAAAAAGTTGATTAATTTTGAACATCCGTGCACAAAAAGACAGGTGCTCAAAAGGCAAAAAATAATTTAAAATAAGTGACGTTTGCAGCTGTTTTTACTCACTTTTTTAAATTATTTTAATTAAGAGGTCAGGCCTGATAGGGTGGTTTGGTGCACAGACTCATCAGCTGTTTTGGAAAGCATACAGTCAACAACAACTGGCAGAGACGATGTACTCATTGAACTCTTTCATTGCTTACAAAGACTTCACAGAGGTGGTATAGATATACAGTTTTGTTGGGTGCCGACTAGCAAAAGGGGCATTACAAAAAGAAACAATAGTACCACTTGGAAAATGAGAAGGAAATGCAGTGGTTAAGAAGAAAGGAAGGGAATGTCACAAAATTAGTCATAACAAAGACATATAAAAAAGGAACAGAAGAGAGGAAGTCATCATAACAAAACTCAGAATAGATCATACAGACTTAAATGGCACCATGTATGTAGTGGGGAAAAGAAACAGTGACAGGTGTGGGAGTGGGATTTGAGAAGCAGAGGAGACAAGAGTCACCAGGATGCCATTTTTTTTTACTTTCTTCAATGACAAATAATGGGAAGAATTTAGGAAATGAGGTGAACTAATATGATGGTATACACACTTGTACGGTAGGTGGCGGTGTGCACTGGAAAGTCGTTTGCGACCCGCCAATCAACTGACAGAAGAAGAAGAGTGACCGCGGGCGGTGTTGATGACGCAGGAAGAGGGAAATCCAAAACAGCTCGCCTCGCGTCCCCTTCAGCTGGAAGTGAAGAAGTAAAGTTGAGCCCTGACAGCGGTTGTAAAGTGGAAGGCAGTTGTTAAAGCGGGAGAAAAGTAAGTAATTGTGATTTAGTATCGAGTAAACAACATCTTATTTCGACTACTGTGTGTCTTTTACACTTACAAAAACAGACTAAGATGCTTTTGTAGCCACGTCAGTTAGCAGGCTAACAACGGTAGCTTGGAGTTAACGTTAGCATCACCATAACATTATCTGAACTCTCAGAGCTAACTGGCGTTTAGCTATTAAGCGAGTGGATATTTTCTGGCTGGTTTATTTTACCCTCCGCTCAGCAGGATGCAGAGGGCTTCCCGTTTGAAACGTGAACTTCAGATGCTGAGCACCGAGCCACCTCCCGGGATAACATGCTGGCAGACTGAGGAGAGGATAGACGACCTCCGGGCACGTAAGTATTCACAGCCTGTAATGCTGCAGTTGTACTCAGCAACATGTCACATACAGACAGGTGACAAACTAAAGGAAAACCCTGAATAAATGAGTGGAGAAACTACGAATGCAGCTTACTGAGACACTTCAATCAATCAATCAATCAATCAATCAATCAATCAATCAACCATTGTTTACTGATTTCACATTCAGTGGGCTAGACAGATACAAAAATGTAATAGCAATGGCAATAAAGTGATGATAAAAGTCCATACAAACAAATACGTAGCAGCAATGTCTATTAAGAATTATAAACTAATAGAAAACAGTAAAAAGACAAAAAAGTTAAATAATAAGAATACAGTCTGCCATACATAACAACAACAACAACAATAAAAACAGTAATATGTACAAAATCATGTGTCAGCTAACCAAAGCAGGAACACTATATAACAACCATATCATCTAGCATATGCTTGAAATGACTTAATGCCTTTAATTTGTCACCCATGTGTATATTGCAAGCTAAATGACTTTTTTTTATCTTTCTGATAATTTATTTTTTTCTTCCTCTTGTTCACAGAGATAGTGGGCGGAACTGGGACGCCATATGAAGGTGGACTCTTCTCCTTGGAGATCAAGGTCCCAGAGAGGTACATTTTCCCTAAGCTTTAACACTGACATTAGGGCTGCGTACTCTTTAAAAATTACAATACCAGTACCATTACCAGCATCCAGAAAGTGATACTAATACCAGTAGAGTACTTTGTTTGATGTATTTCTATACTTAATACTCCATTATGTAAATGGAAGCATTTCAGGTACATAAAATGCCACCACCACTCCTCTCTATCTAAATGATTTATACACACATTTGTTTGACAGTGATTTACATTTGAGCAGCACATCACAAGGCTTGTGCAGTCATCTCAACTTTTAAAACTCAAGGGACAATTTTACACACTTTCATCTCTTTACACCTGGATTACTGCAGCCACTGTTTTTCTTGCCTGAATTTTAACTAGAACCAATACAAGTATCACATCAGTTTAGTTTCAGCCCCTTTCCACTGGCTCCCAGTAAGTTAAAAAAAAAATAGATTTTAAGATTTTACTGATCATGTTTATGGCTCTCCCAGTTATATCTCTCACATCTTAGTATTGTACACTGCACGCCAGTATGAACTTTGAGATCAGGCAGAGGTCTCCTGTGTGTTCCAAAGGCCCTCGTGGAAACTGAAGTTGACAGAGCGTTTTCAGTCAGGTCCCTGGGGCTCTGGAACAATCTGCCCGAATAAATCAGGTGCGCTGAGTCAGTGATCTCTTTTATGTTCCTTTTTCTTTTAAGCATACTTTGATCGGAGAGTCTTACCTGATTTTACTTGAGCTGTCTTTTGTTTCTTTGGTTTTATACATTGACTTGTTTTCTTTTAAAACCTGTTGATTTTATGACTTGTATGTCTTGTGAAGCACACTGTAACGCTGTTTTTGAAAAGTGCTTTATAAAGCGACACAATTATTACTACTATTATTTTGAAAGTGTTAGAAGTATTAAAATATTTGTTGTATAACTGTACAAACCACTAAGTCAAATACATTGCACATCTTTACCACGTCACAGACTGAATGAGACAGGTTGTAGCTGCTGCAGTCATGGGCCAATCACGAGTCACATTATAACGAGGAGCACTTGTGGTGATTGGCTGCGAGAAAAACTGTAGAAGTTGTCTTTTTTTCTAGATCTGGGTAAAAAGGATTGAATGCAGGTATCTTCTGACTTAATACATTTTGACACTACTTGTACTGAATTACTTCAGTTAATACTTCAAAGGTATTAAGTACTGATACCCAGCCCTAATTGATATGTTCCCTCTCTCTCGTTTCATTGTCATAAACACTTACTGCAGTGTAGTAGGACTGACCTGCTGTTTTCTTCTCACAGGTACCCATTTGAACCTCCCAAAATGCGATTCTTGACCCCCATCTACCACCCAAACATTGACAACTCAGGACGCATCTGCCATGATGCCCTCAAACTTCCGCCAAAGGTTGTCACAGACTTCCCAACAAAAAAAGTTATTTATGGTCTGCATCCATCGTCTGGTTTTGTTTGTCTGCTGTCAGATTTTAATTATTCTTTTCTATTATTCAGGGTGCCTGGAAGCCATCCCTAAACATCTCCACAGTCCTCACCTCCATTCAACTGCTCATGGCTGAGCCCAATCCAGACGACCCGCTCATGGCTGATATAGTGAGTCACACATAATCTTGCATTCAAAGATTTCATATGCTCATACATCTATTACAGTGGCAAAGCTTTGATACACATTCACACTGCGGGCGATTTCTTTGCTTTTGTGAATATTTTAATACAAATAATTTCAACAGAGCTTTTGCAAAAACTTTTGACATTATAGTGGCTGAGACCTAAATAACACAGCTTAAAATTTGCACCTGGAAAAGAAGTAAATACTCTTTCTAGTATGCATTTTAATACAGGCAGAGGGTTTTTTTTTCTCTCAATGCCAGAATAACTTGTTACTTGTCAGCCTGAGAAATCTTTACCTCTTGTCACACAAAAAATACAGCCCCTTGCAGTCTAAAAATTGCATTAGAGAGCATTTCAATTTTGATACTGTGATCAATTTTGTATCTCCGTCGTATACGCATGTAAAGAGACGCTTACATTTTTTGAATGCAGTCATCAGAGTTCAAATACAACAAACAGCTGTTCATGGAGAAGGCCAGGAAGTGGACAGAAGAACATGCTGTTCAGAAGAACATGGTAAGTCTCTCTGATCTAATGGTGAAGCAGTTGTAACTTACTGTCGTTCATGACTAAAACAGTTCACCTCTTTAACCTTTTTAATTTCATCATGGACTGACTGACTTTGGGTCAGCTGCATTATTCTTAGTGGGTGACATGAATATTTTGTCTGTTCGGGGTTCATACGCTGTATTGAAAAGTATGGAATCTGATTGTAGTCATTTCAGGTCTGGATGATTATTGAAAACAGAAAAAAAAAAATTGTTTCCAGACTTTTGCCTCCGCAACTGCTTATCCCATTCAGGGTTGCAGGTGGGCTGGATTATATCCCAGCTGACATTGGGCAAGAGGCGGGGTACACCCTGGACAGGACGCCAGACTATCACAGGGCTGACACATAAATACAGACAACCATTCACACCTACAGGCAATAGAGTCACCAGTTAACCTGCATGTCTTTGGACTGTGGGAGGAAGCCAGAGAACCAAGAGAAAACCCCCACACACGGGTAGAACATGCAAACTCCGCACAGAAGGGACCCTCCCTGTGAGGGGACACTGCTAACTGCTGCACCACCAACACAGCCTCCTGTATCATCCAGTGTCAACAACATGTTTTCCATTGTGTCAGAGAGTGCAGGCCAGAGGGAACGTGATGTCGTTGAAAGCAAGGCAAGAAGTATGGTCTGTGACAGCTTTGCCACAAAAGCCTCACAGCTGTACCAAATCTGAACATCTAGAACAAACTAATTTAAAAGAAAATGCTGTAATATCTTTGAATATCATATATACATTGTTATGCAGTGATGTTGTTATCAGGAATGTAAACGGTCTGTCCTTTATGCTTACGGAAACCATATCTTTATGGCTGTGTTCGTCGTCTCCATGGACACAGTAAATAAACAAGGCTGCACAAATGCCATGAAGCACTATTATTTAACTTGTTTCAACTAATTTTTGGTTCTTATTTATTAAAGAAACTTAAAAAATATGGGGGAAGTAATGACATAATTTATTCAACATGTTAAGGTAAAATAAGACGAGTAAAGGTGGCACCAATTAGTTTACTTCTCTGGGCAAAGATGAGTTACTTCTCTGGGTTTGGTGGTAAATGATGTATGAGTTACGTTACCTGGCTACAGTCTTCTTGCAGTTATTTGGCAACATAATAGTCTACATAGTCAGAATGTAACATACTTGTTAACAGTTGGATTTTAAAACCATTTGTTAACATAATTAACATCTGATATGGTCTGAAGAATCTGTCACTGTAGAAGCGCTGTGTAGTGGTATATTTTGCCCACAAGGTGGAGCTGTTGTACCTCCATAGAAAGGTTGTCTGCTAGTGATGCAGACTGTTTGAGTTATGTTCAAACATTTAACTTCTCCAGGGTGTCTACAGGTCCTAAAAACTCTTAAAATGTCTTAAGTTTTCTTAATATAAGGCCTCAAAAACTCTTAAATTGTCTTAAATTCAGATTTAAATATTCATTCAGTCATATTACCACAAAGAATTCTCCAGCCTGAGCCCAGTGTTTACAGTCATTGGACAGAGAGTTTTCTTTTTACATTTAACACATTAAACCTGTTGTCATACATATATAATGTTTATTTCCATTGCGGGGTTGGTTTTAAATTTCATATAAGGTGGTATTAAAAAGGTCTCAAAGAGTCTTAAATTTGACTTGGTTACATCTGTAGACACCCTGTCATCAGTTTTGAGACGTGGAGGAGCATATGTGGGCAATGCAGTCATTGATTAAAATGTTTTGTGTCTGTCTTTGTTCAGGGAGTCGTGGAGAGCAACAAAGAAAATACTCCAGATCAGAATGTTTCATCCCGCAAACGGGAGGCTGGCAGTGCACAAACGGAGACAGAGGAGCCCGCAAAGAAAACCTGTGCCTAGTTTCAGTTTCACACAGGACAGCCACAGGACTCCCTTCTCTGACGCCACCATGCTTTATATGCCTGTCTATTTGTAAAGAGTTTAATTTTAAATTTTAATTTAGCGCTGACGCCTTCTTACATTTACTTTGTATGCATTCTCCTTCTTAATCCAAAAATACCCACATATTCATATGTATATTTGTTTTGTGTTGTGATATTAAATTGTATTTTAACTTAATGCCAACATTCAGTTTTTTTAATGTTTTGCATGAAATGCTTTTACTTCTCTTGTGTTGTGAAGGTGTGTTTCACAATAGATGGAATATACAGTATGAAGATAATTTTATTCAAACATATGCTTACCAGTTGTATACAAAGTATGTACATCCTAAATAGCAAAGGTTTTTTTTTTTTTTTTTACAAACTAAGGATTTATTTCTTAATATATAAAATTATATATTTGCTGTTTATCATATAAAAAGAGAGACAAACATCATAAGGCTGTAGTGAGTCAATACCATGCTAGTTCAGAGGTAGTTACATTGTATGTACATATTGCTAGTTTACTCTAACGTCTGTAGAAAGATAGCTACATCCCATTCAGTCTGTATAAGCGCTTGCCTCTTGTCAGGCAGATTTGCATATTTGAGACAAAATTGTGTAAACCGTATGAAACTGTGCGACGTGTTTCCTGTTGCATTTTTGCTGCCACATAAAGAATAACATTCTCATAAAGGCTATTACTCAGTTGCAAAGAAATATATCTGACAATAACATTTCTGTGAATGAAAAATGTTAGCTTACTCTGGTAAAAAATGTCCCGGTGTGTCTGATAATGACTCCCTTTCTTTGAAACAGACTGAAGCAATAGAATAGAACTTGTATTGAAACAAAGATAAGTCCACTTAAAATATAACCAAACAATCTGTAACCTCTAAGCTGCATGTCTCACGATCACATTTCAGTATAAACATTTACACGTAAAATTCTACTGGTTCTACCTTTATTTCCCCTGGCTAAACCATTGATTTGTCCGATGCTTAGATTTTCCATGACAGCTTTTGCTTGAGCTTTCTTTTTGCCATGTGAGTCCATGACTGACACAGTCCCCTGGGTAGTGTCTGAAATTGTCCTTTATTTTAACAGACATGTGCTGTGGTGTTTCCTTTAATAGTCTTTACTGTGAAGGGAACTTTTAAGTTGCACTCTCCATTTTCAGAGGCACTTTGTTGTGTTCTCATAGGCTTCTCTAGAGTACTCTACAGTCTCTGTGTGGACTCATTGTGAGGCGCTTGAGGACTGAGCCGGTCTTGCTGCTGTTGTGTCGATGATGGTCCTTTAGTGTCCATAGTGTCCCAGCTATTCAGACAGCTAGCTTTGAGGCTCACGGATGAGAGGTGAGGGAAGGAGTCATGGTAGAGTGATACAGAGGGCAAGTGTTATGAATCACATCTTGATCCAAACTCTTCAGACATTTATCGTCGCTCAGGCTCCCCTCTCCTTCTGTCACCCTGTCTCTATCTCTGGCAGTGGGAGTGGGTATCTGGCAAGGGATGAGAGGGACTGAGGAAGTAGAAGAGCAGTGGGAAAACCTGATTGGATCCAGTCGGGGTTGAAGAGAGGACCCCCCGCTGTAAAGGGCATCAGCGAGTGACACCTGTGTTGAAGAGTCGGAGCAGGAGCTCTTCTCTGTCTCCACAGACACCAGCGAGTCCAGGGTGCGGTCCCGGCGTAGCTGTGGACGTGCTTTGGGGTGAGGCCAGAAGAAAAACTGGGTGTGGTCTCTTGTGAAAAGGAGGAAGAGGAGGGGGTTGAGGCAAGCAGGCAGGGGCTGTAGAAGCAGGAGAACTGATTTTAGCACCTCCTCCCCCAGAGAGAGGAGACCCAGGAGGGAGCAGAGGGACAAGAAAGCTACTGGTACATAGAGGAGGCCATTGGTGAATATTAGCCAGGCAACATGTTTAATCATAGCGCAGTCCCACAGGCCTTCGCACTCTCCCCTAAGTAACTCCCAGTACAGACGGATGTATGAGCCTGTGACTATAAGCAAGCACAGAGTGTTCATCATAATGAGCGCCAGGGGAAAGCCCAGGGAGGATGGCAGTCGAGAGGATGGGGGCGGCAGGGGTGAGGGAAGGCAGAAAGGTGAGGACCCATACTCCCCAACTCCTACCAGTGGGAGAGAAGCAAGGGTGAGGGAGAGAGTTAGGCAGAAAAGTGCACATGTGCGCACACTCCCAAGGGATGGGGACTTGCCATAGGCACGGGCACATGTCACGCTCACGCCACACTGCACAGCTGCCAGAGTCAGCAACAACACACTCGCCTCAGACGCAAACACCCACACCCATCCCGTTGCCTGACAGCCAGGACCCCCTTCCCAGCGGGCACCGTGGTGACCAAACTCTCCCAGGGTCAGAGCGTCCACAAGGGCCAGGGTGCATGTGCACACACCTGTCAGCAGGTTGGAAGCACCCATGCAGGCCACGGTGAAGCGGAGCGGCGACAGGTAGCCGGGTGAGCCGAAGAGGGACAAGAGCAAGAGGGAGTTCCCCAGAAGAGACACCAAGGAGATGGACCACAAGCCCACACGGACCAGCCAGCTGCCCAACAGAGTGTCACAGGGACGGAAAGGACCTGCAAACACAGGAATCATCAGCTTTAGATTAACAATTTCCTTACGCTGTAATTGTGACAAAACAATGTGCAAGCCAGTTGACAACTGCTTGATCATTACCAATGAAAGTGGAATTTAATTTACCTGGAGTGGGTGTGCATTGGACACTGGTCTGTAGTTTGGATTCCTCTATTTCTAGTTGGAACTCTTCCAGGTCAGGATCATCTAGAATAAAGCATTGTAAGGGTTAACTTCTGTTAGGTTTCATGACAGTTACATTTAGAAGACTAAATAGATCTGTTCATGACATGACAAACATTGTAACCGTCACTCCCCATCTATTTCCATGCCTCCTTTATGTTGGAATAGATATATCCACTAGATGGCACTAGAGTGCAGATTCAAAAGTTCCTGATCTCAACAGATATGTCAACAGTGAAGGAGGTTGCAATAATGCCTCTTTTATCAGAGGCAGTGTTGTACACACTGGTGGTCTGTGAGGTCAGTAAATGCATCACAACATGTGGACGGGATTTTTTTTTTACAATTTGAATTTAACAGATTCGTTCTGTTTTGCCATTTTTTAACTGCCTTTGTCATGTCTCCGTCATGGCCCAGGCCCCCAAGAAATATAAGATTTATATTTTCCTTGCAGGGCCCCAGGAAGGGTGCTGGTCTTTGAAGTTAATTTTCATAGTGGCCAAACAGTGGAGTCACAACTTACGAGTCTGGCCCCAAAACACTTTTCTCCTATAGACTTGCATTGTAAAAGAGGTGTCTTTAAATCAGTGAGAATTTTTTAGAGTATCACACTCGTGAAACGACTTATTTTACAATCAGACTTTGATCCATTTGGTCCAATAACGTGGAAACTCAGAGTCAGATGATTAAATCAATTTATCTCGTTCAAGTTAATGGAGCGCTAAACAGGAAGTAGCTGGCCCAGCTGGCAGAAGTATCTAGTTCGCTTTCTCTGTGGGTGCTGATCATTCAGGTAATTTTATATGCAGTTAAACGTTTTTTTGCTTCCTGTGCTACTAAGCAGCTTTCACACTCAAACACTGTATCCATTTCTCTTTACACATCCATGACACTGCCCCCACAATATGCGGTGGTTCTGCCCTGTTGTTGTTTTTTCCAGAAAACATGCACATATATGGATGACAAGAATAAGGAGTACGAACAGAAGACTCCACCCATGTCTGTTAATGTTGAGCACAAATGAGCCTTTACTCTGCATGTGTACATATACACAGTATGTTTAATTGTGTGTGGCACTGGCTTCAGGCGGTTGGTGCAACAAAGGAGGTGATCTAACATTCTTCTACAATGATATAAAAACACTGCAGAAGATAATTGGCACTTGTCTGAAATTTGATCATCACGACTGTTTTTCCAGCAATTAGAGGTGAATAAATTTTAATCAGCGTTATGTCATGCTTTAATCATCTTTTGTTATTGTATCTTTTGGTACACCCAGCAATTGTTTATTTTCAGCTTTAACGGTGCAGGTTTAATGGTTTTAATTTCAACTTAATTTCGGTTTATTGGTTTTTATATTTTTCGCCTGCCACAGGAATGCATGGAAGGGTCAACGCTCATGTGTATGTGTGTGTCAGCTGCCAGGTAGCTGTGGTTTCAGCAAGGCTCTGACATGTTTCAAGTGGGCTTTAGTCAATAATTCGGCAATGAGCATATGGAGCTCAGATTTCTGTCTATTGCTTTACCCCCCAGTCCCGGGTGTGTACCATGTGTGGTTTATACTGCAAATAGGCTTGCGCAGATGTCGTAATGGCATCATTTCTTACAGTGTGTGTCTGCGTGGATAGGATACACTGGTACAGTCCTCTTGTGTAAGTCCTCGTCAGTGTTGCTCTGCTCCGTGTCCCACTGGCCGGCTGGCTTGTAGCTATCACAGGAACCATACACACAGCACTGGTAGGCATAAGGCATCTCTATAACCCTGTAACAAACACATGGAACGGTATTGAAAATAGACCAGGAAAAACAATGCCATGACAGATGGTTCAACAAGTGCACAGAAAATGGTTACAAAACCTTAAGACTTGCATGATGTTCACTTGAATGTGAGCTTGGGCGCTACCAGCTTAGCTTTGAAACAATACTGTATATTCTCAGTTAAAAAGCAACCTCAAATGCTGATGAATTCAGGACTGGCATGCATACTTGATTTTTCTTGCCCTGTAAAAATATGGCTAGATAGACAGATAGATAGACAGACAGATAGACAGACCCTGTATTAAAAATTATAGATATGTACAGCTAGAAGTAATTCTTTCAGTTATACACTCTTTATAAGGTTACATGCAAAATGGCGACCAGGCACAAGAGTGATGTTTGGAAGTATTTCCACCAAATGAACAAATTGAATGTGCAGTGCATGCTATGTAACATTAAATTTGTGGATCAAAGAAGAAGGAATTTTGAAGATTAACCATTTGCATGCTAAGCACAAGGAGAAATCAGTGGAGACACAACAGGCAATCTCCCATCACCTGGTGGTTTTTCCTTTATGTAGGCTAAACTCTACAGCCTGTGCAGCACAGAAAGGTTGGCTAATCCTGACCATAGAC